TCATCTTCAAAAAGTTCAACTGTTAATAGCTAAGTTAGCTTTGGGACAATCTTGACCACCCTATATTTAGAAATGTTAAGCCCGTTTCTTTAGCTTTAAAACAACATTAAGACAACAACATTAAGTCTCTACGATGCGCCGACACCGAGATATAATGCAAACTTTGGCAGATCATATCTCCGAAGAGAAAAAAATTAAAACAAAATTCTTCGAACACGTGTTAGCTTATTTCATGCGTGACACCAAATTTGCTGTCCCATATGAAAGAGAATGTCTCATATACGTTGTATAGTTAAAAAAAAAGGTATGTTATTTTGTATTGTATTTTGAGACACTCTAATGTACATACATATGTACACACATGCACCGAACGAATTCGTGGCCGGCCTAAGACACACATCTAATTAAGTTTTCTATTCATAAGAGCATTTAAAACATTTCGAATTCACAAAAGGGCAGTGAATGGTATTTTGTGATATTTTGTGGTAGGATAAAAATTAAAGGCCAAGCTATAAAACCGAATCCAAAAATGTCTTGCAAATATACTGGCGTGAACTTAAAGGTAATTTTCACTCTCAGAAATAAGTGTCGATTGTTGGTTTAAAAATTTAAACTTAATTCCCAAACAACAAACACTGAAAGTTTCACGGTAAAAATAAGATATTGGAATATTTATATTATAAAATAAGTTAATAATAAAAACAAATAGTTTTACAGCAAGCTTTCTAAATATGAACGAAATCGGACCATAAATACAGGTTTACCAAATATATCGACTTGTGCGCGAAATTTTTAGTGGAGTTATTCCTTTTCATGTAATAAATATTTATTTATTTATTTAAACAAACTAAACTTATAATTAAAATTACAAGCTAGTATCTTTATTAGCGATAGCAACGTAGGCCTTACGCTAAATATGTAATAAATATACGCTCTTAATATGAACCAAAATGAACCATTGCAAAATCGTTATTTATTGATTTTTATTTTTTCGAACAATAATAATCGTTAAATTGGGATTTTTGTTTTTTTTTTGAACAAAAATAATCGTTATTTTTAATTTTTATTTTATTCAATAATTTTTAAGCATCACAAATATTAGATCTGAAACTAACGATTACACGGATAAAATAAACAAGTAAGAAAGTCTAAGTTCGGGCGGGGCCGAACATTAAATACCCGGCGCAAGTATTACATATATGGCTTTTCACTTTTCCGAAAGCTACCGCTACATGGTAAGCCGGGGTGTATCAATTTTGAATAAATTAGCGTCCTTAAATTTCGAAATATTGACGTTTCAAGCATTTTTTAAATTTACCGTTATATGAAAAGCCGTAATTTTAGTCCGATTTCAATAATTTTGAACGTTTTGCTTTTATGTGGCAAGCACAATAACCATACCGAGTTTGGTATAAATTGGTGGAACGGTTACCGAGATACATATATGTGATCATAAGTGGGCGGTGCCACGCCCATTTTCCAAAATGTTATGATAAGCGTATTTCCTGGCAAAGAATTGTTGCAACCATCATTTTGAATAAATAAGCTTTAATATTTACTGATTTGTCGAAGATTTCGTATTTCTCCAAATTACCGTTATATGGGATGTAGGCGTGGTTATTGTCCGATTTTTAAAATTTTCAGCCATTTGGTATCCTGTACCAAGGTCAATAATTGTGCCAAGTTTGGAAGAAATCGGTGCAGCGGTTGCCAAGATATACACATGCAACCATAAGTGGGCGTGGCTACGCCCATTTTTCAAAAATTTATAATATTCTTATTTTTCGTCTAAAAGTTATTGCAAATATCAATTTTGAGTGAATAATCTTCAGTAGTTACTAAAATATCGCAGTTTTTGTATTTCTGAAAATTACC